GAAATTAGGCTGAAGATATAGTATCGATTGGACAGAAATAACTGCAAAAATATACTTTACTCTTTAGGTTTTTTATTTCCATTTAACGGTGCGCGTACGTGTAGCCCAACGCACGAGTTCAACTGTTCGAGTGATTGATGATTTTCCCTTGCGCGCTTTGGCGATATCATCTGTTATCTATGCGGACGATCATGGTCTTAAACGTGTATTGTTGCATAACTTATATCTATACAGACCACGTGGGTCCTATGTAAATTGCTTGTATAATGTACACAAAAAAAATAGGTACATAATTTTTCCGCTGAACTGTTATTATTGTTATCTTAGGTCGGGATACAAACAAATATTGAGTAATAAGAATATGTCATGTATGCTAATGTTATGCGCCTATTTAGCATTTCACAATTTGAAATTACACTGCAAACGAATGCCCGATCTTGAAACGCACCTCATGATTTATTTTGTATATGTGGTCACGTGTCTATAAAACCAATGCTGAATGTATTACCAACATGTTTTCAATTGAATAATTCAAATAAAACAGTACACAGTATATCATACACTAAGGTAGCACAAAAGTGTTTTTTTTTCGCCCACCACTAAAAATTAATTTTTATAGTAAATGAAAAAGTTTAATAGAACAATTAAATGGCATGCTGGGCGGACATCGTATTCGTTGTACTACAGGGTGCTTAAAATACTATATTTATAATTTTAATTGTCTGTTAAATAAAAAATTAGATTAAATATAGTTGTTAAATCTCGAGTCTTTATTTCGTGATCAACCTTACGTAAGTAATAAATATTGTAAACAACTTCTCATCGATTAACATACCATTGGGTTCTGTTATAGATTTGTAGGCGACATTTAGTGGAATTTGTTAAATTTAAATCGATTACAGAAGTAGCTTGTGATTTACCTGAAGAATCAGGAAGTATAGGAACTCTCAAAAGTTTAACGATCCCATCACCGAGGATTAGCACAGCTAATCGCTCAACGGATCTTTTAGAAGTAGAACTGGGCAACATTTTACCATCCTAATGGACTATTAACAGAATATTAGGTTTGAAGGAAGATTTAAAATTAGTTCTATCAACAGCGAAAGTTAACGCTTGACTCATAATTTTTTAATTTGATTTCCGTTCAATATCACATACGTATTCAGATTAATCAAAATTGTTAAGTCTGTATCATCAGAGCTTGACGATAAAATATAATTTACCAAAACAGGTGTCATTTTAATTTTTTTGTTTTAAGAAACCCTTGGGTGTTCATGTCGTATTTTGTTACGTTGTGCAATGAAAAACTCACGAACGTTTGAATCGGTTATAAGAGATATTGAATTTTTATGTGAAATTTCAAAGAAGTCGTCCAAAGATTCTACAAATATTTTAACACTTTGTTGTTGAGCTATTGTTTTTCGCGATTTTTTTCAAACTTTTTTCAAATTTCAATAATTTGATTCGATATTGATTAGAATTTGATTAGAACTATTTGATATTTGTTTTTTACACACAGAACGATAATAAAACAAATTATCCAGTACATCTTTTTTTATCGGAAGCCGATCTTCTGAAATTACATCGCAGATTGATAGTATGTAATAATTCCCATCAACCATATACCACGTGTTCTCTGAAAATTATTTATTTTATAATTATTATTGTCAAGATGTTATAACTTAGGTAAACCAAATGATAAATTACTTACTGAAACATTTTTCTGTATAACAAAATAATACCTACTATTAGGTACCTATTTACTTTTTGGGCTCACTATATATATATATTTGAAGGCACCTTACCCATCTGTAAACGCGTACCTATACATATATATATATATATATATATAATATTATTATAATAGTTAATTAGAATCGAGTATTGGAGAGACGGTAACAAAGAAAAGCGCACACGCTGTACACTGACATGTACTAGCCGAGTACAGCTGAGTTTGAATATGCGCGGCATGCGTTGCCGTGTGTGTCTTGGTGTGGACTATTGTTTTTTAATTTTTTATCTTCTTCTCGGACGACCATTGTTGCTTATAATATACCGAAATACCGTCGTCTGGGCTGTGCCCAAGGTCGTGGTTAAGACTAGCACGCGTCGACCAGATGTTGGTAGGTATACACGCCGCGGTAAACTTTTTTTTATTATTATAACTGATAATACTATTTCATAGTCGGGTACGAATAATAATAATAAAATAGGTACCTATTATTATACGCTTATTTATTTATTTTTTTTTTTTTGTCTTCTCCGTCGCTTTATGCGGAGAATAGACGCACTCCGTCGTGCCAAATGGCATCTTAGAAAATATAATGTGTCGTACACTTGGAGGTCGTCGTGTGAAGACGGAGAGATCACGCAGCATAATTATTATACATAATATTGCACACGGTGGCGTTTCGCTGTCGGGTGCCCGTCTTACGTGTAAAAAGTCTTGTGTGCGTGAAGCGAAATTCTTTGGGCCCGACCGGTTAATTCCGCGCACCGTACCCATAGCGCACGCCGTGCTTAGCGTGGTGCCGAAAACACCGAATCCGCTAAAATATAATATACCTTTTATACCGCCCAACACATGCGGTATAATATGCGCAAGCCGAAGCCCCGACTGTTTTTCTTGTAAGCAAAACGATTTCTAATAATCGATAACTTAAGACGACCCGACGCGTTTCCGCTGCTGCCGAACCGCCAAGATTGAAGTGTTTAGAATTCGGACGTCCAAATAAAAATTACCTCATTAGCCCCTATCATCAAAGGTGAAAAGCATTCTATTTGGGCGAAAAAAAAATGAGTTTGTGTAAAGTAATTTGAGCTACTCACTTTTGATATAGCTGTTTTAATGTGACTTTTGATTTGTATTACGTTAACACGTTTTGTAATTATTTTGTCACAAATTTTAGTTTCGATACGGAACTGTACACTTTGATTTTACTATGATGTTTTATTATTTTTGATTTCTGCGTCCCTACGATATCTCCTAAACTGCTAAACCGATTTACTCAAGTAGATAGGTCGCGTACCTGAAAGGTACTTTATTGGGTAAAAAATTAAAACAATTTTTTGTCCAACACTCTGCAATTGGAAAAACGCCCTAAAAGCTTACAAGTTATAATATGTCAGTATTAATAATTATGGGCTCCACAATCGTCCACTTCTTCATTTTTCGACCAATCTAACTTTACTCTGCATGAACGGATGAATGTATTGTCACACAATATGCCTTTTTCCTTTTTGCATCTTATCCATTTAGTCTTTACTCAAAACATCTTCATCCGTTTTCTAACACGACTTGTTCAAAATTCTTCAACTCGTATTTGCCTACCACTTGCGCTCTCTAAGCTGTCCACGTTCTGTAACTCCACTTCTAACTTATAGTGGACCTTTCCTGTCTGAAACAATTTCACTAAATACTTATTTTCTCCGTCGTTTTATTTAAATTGCTAACACTTCCGAACACTCATAACTTATATGACCCTTATGTTATCAAGTAAACACCACATTTTACTGTACTATATATGTGAGACAATCAATTAAAAACATATTTGTTTTAAAAATAAATAAGTTTTTCTAAGTTTTTAAAATCAAATAGGTAAATATGACCCACATGAAAGAATTTTTTTTTTTGGATTGCCTATTATATTCTTTATGTCATCATCGCTTACCAAATTGAATAAAAATTGAGATTTTTAATATGGTGATAATTGTTTTAGGTTTAGGACAGTACGCTGGGGCCTCCAAGTTTTAGAGACCAAGTACCCATTCACAGTCTACAATTTCGTTAATCTGGGCAGCATATATGTGTACACTTGTACAAGCGTATATTGAGTTATAAATGCTGTACACTTAACAATATTATTGTACCCATTAAAAAGAAAAAATTCTTATCCTTGTTGTTGAAAGGATGGCATACCTTTCACGGAAAAACGGTACAGTACAATTTGTAGATGTACAAATTGTTATGTCTGTGTCGATGAATTCGATTCAATTTCAAATCACTTCCAGTTGCCATTCAGAACTGTCACTTTAAAAAATGGCTCTGGTTTTGAAACACGAAATTTAACATGAAGTTTAAGCAAGTTGTCAATTTTAATTCCTCGTTGTGAAAACTCCGTGTTGGCTTAGTACGAAAAATATTGACATTATTTTTTACTGTGTGACATAATTATTATCTCATTTTTTTTTAGCTGCAAGTAGGCCAATAATTAGACCGCAGTTTTCATTATAAAATACAATTTATTAAAATAATTCGGCCTAGAGTTTTGATTTTATTGTTTCGCTTAGGCATTAACCTTTTACCTTTGTTATTTTGGCTGCGTATACAAAATAAGGCCGCAGCTTGAACGACCGTCCATTAAAGTTTAATTGATTTAATTAATGAGGTCTCTTAAACGACCGAATAACAATAAACTAAAAGATCGACCGGCCGCTTAATAAATTAAAAAAAATTGTAAGAAAAAAAACTAGTTTTTTGATACAATTAAAATCTTAATTTTAAGAACTATAAATTAAATAAACTATTAGGATTCACAATATTTGTTTTATTACGGGTACTTTCTTTAAATTCCCCACGAACACCTGAAAAGATAAAATAAGACTTCTAATTGTGTAGGCTTCAAGCAAAGAAGATATTAGATAGCTAAAGGCTGATACCAATATATGGATTGTTTCAAGCCGACTTGTATTATGTATTATTTTAGATATTTGTTTGTAAATCGCATGCTCAATCGACACTGCCATATAATATCATACAAGATTGATTAAAATAACAAAAATAATATTGTAACAGCCAATATTTTTATTTAATGTTATAAGTCGATTTACGGAATAATAAATAAATATGAGCTTGTGTTTTTTTTTCATTGTGATTTTATATTATATTTTTTATAGTATGTACAATAATCAATATATAATAAATGATTTTAAAATAAAAACAAATTTTAGTTCGATGTCTAAATTAAAAAAAAAACTTTAAACAACTAATAAATGTACAGGTGAGCTGATGATTTGTTCGATTATTATCTAGATATATATGTCGAGTAGGCGCGTGTTTCTTATAATAATAAATATTAGGTAGCATCATGTATGTATTTTAGACATAAATTATAATATTATATAAGACTTGTTAATAAATAGTTTTATTCGTTAACAAACATAAAACATAATATTGGGAAAAAAAACATATTTATATAAAATAACACGAGTTTCTTGTAATTGTTTTGTTATTAAAATTACGTTTCGTTGGGTGTACAAAAACCGTTAAATGGGTTCTCAAAAAAAAAAAATTAAAATTTTACATAACGTTTGAAACACAAGACGTTTACCTTCAATAACAACATGCACTTGTATAATATAGATAGTTTTATTGGACACACTGTACACTTGGACTTACAGTGTATGTATAATAAAATTGTTTTGGACTTTTTAGTATTTTTTTATCCGATTACACTTCCGAACATACATTTTATAAATTTATTTATTTATATATATATATATTATTGAGATCCACAAATCATATATTATTACAATAATAATAACAACGGATAATCATTAGGGTTTTTTTGTATAAGTTTCTTTTAATGACAGTAACTATTATACCTCGACGGAACGTTCAAAGGATTTAAACGTGCCGTTATAGTTGCGTCAAGTCGTATTCGCCGGCGCCAATCGGTAGGCCTTGCTGCAAGTGTTGCGTCAAGTGCGGGTTGTTCATGGCGGCGGCGGCGGCCGTGACCGGCGGTTGCTGCTGCTGATGGTTCAACATGAGCTGCTGCATTTGGTGCTGTTGTTGTTGTTGGAGATGTGACTGCATGGTTACGGGGTTGTTGTGCGACGATACGGCAGGTTGTTGTTGTTGTACCGACAACATGGAGTCTGACGTTAACCGGAGTTCGGGTTGTTGGTGTTGGGGAGACATGTCGTGCACGTCGATTTTCGTCAACGTCGGCGAACACTGTGGCGCGTTTTGGTTGGGGTTGTTGCTGCTGTTGTTGTTGTTGTTGTTGCTATTGTTGTTGTTGTTGTTTTTTGCCCGCGACTTTTTGCCGGCCGGTTGCGAGCCGCCGTTTTTCCGGCGCACGTTCTTCGTGTTGGGCAAGTGGTTGTCCTTCTTGTACTTCATACGCCTGTTTTGGAACCATATTTTGATCTGCCGCTCGGACAGCACCAGCGAGTGCGCTATCTCTATCCTGCGCCTCCTGGTCAGGTATTTGTTGAAGTGGAATTCCTTTTCCAGCTCTAACACCTGGTATCTGGTGTACGCCGTCCGTTGTCTTTTCACGTCCACCGGTTGGTAGGCGCCGTTCGCTGTAACATAAAAAAACATAACACGCATGAGTACACCATCGCATTGCATGCACATAAATGGCAAGTATGTAAGGAAATAGACCTAAATAAATTGTTTTTTATTTATACAATTTAATTTAGGCTGTAAGACAAAATTATTCATAGTAACAAATATTTTATTGGACATTACTGATAAATATTTTGCTAGATCAACCCCGTTAGTTATTGGATTTCTTTGGGGGATTGGGTTAATAATTTGTTGAATTTCAACAGTTTCTGGAAAGCTGCAAAAGTACTTGAAAAAAACCAAATTGATTTTAACTCCAAGTGTACTAATACTATATATTACATTATGCACTATACGTTTGGGTTCAAAATTCTTTAGCCTATCGGCGGCAGTTTGGGAACGCTTTAAACGCAGGTAATATACAAATATACATATGCCTTGTATTTGAGCGTGGGTAGCTGATGTAAGGGTTTAAGCGCGGCTCGTGATTGTTGTATTATTATTATTAATATTCGGTGTTATCGAGAAATGCTAGGGGACTGCCATCATGGTCGGTGTTCGGTCGGTGGCGGACAAGGGCGTGGTAGTCGGGCGGCGGTCCTTAAATGGGGGAACTATTATTATATTATTATAAACGAGCGTTGCCGAACGTCTCTCTCTCTCTCTCTTTCTCGGTGTTGTGTGTACGACGTTGCCGGGTCTCAGCCCGTTATATCCTATCCATATATTTCACGTACAAGTTATATTATGCCCACTGCAACTTTCCTATGTATAGTATCGCCTTGTTAAAAAAAAATAACATAATATACACACGGTTTATCCAGACGTCCTTGCGGCTCGTTAAGATCGGCCGCCGGCGGTTCTCATTGCATCCAACTATCGTTGTACATAATATTATATAGGAAAACAAAATAATAATGATAATAATAACCCCCGGGCGTCCGAATTAAAATGTTAATATGTTACGCGCGGTTGCGCAAACATTGTGTAAATCCTATATTGACGCAATTTCGTAGTAAACTTTTTCTAAAATAACTACTGTCTACTTATAACGAAATCGGGCATTTGTAATAGACAAAAACTGACGGCTAAAGTTTAAATCAATTAATACCATAAAACATATAGACATATAGCTGTTAAAGTTGGAAGAATCTTTGTTTTATTTAGTGACAATTATGACATCGTTGGGCGCGCCACAAAATATGTAGCATTTTATACCTATATATAAATATAAAATAGAATTTATGCATATTGCATACATAATGGTTTATGCTAGCAAAATGAATCTTTGGTGAATATTTAGTAAGTACCCGTAGTATGAACAAGTGTATACTCATTTCCCTATATAACACTCAATTTCTCCGTAGCAAGAGCCTATGCTATTCCAGGAATTAAGATTAATCTGTATTGATGCAAATATTGTCAAAATAGGTTTACTATCCTTACGGAGACTATTCTAAATAGCGAATAAATAAATATGATGTTAATAAACATATAACTATAAAACAAATATAAAACATAAGATATAAGAAGTTGGGAATCACCTTTCCTCTTAGTAATGATATGAGGACTGCTGGTGTATGCAAGGATGATGTGATAAACCGTGTCGAGTAGAAGTTTAGGACAAGAGTGGTCGACTCCAAGTAGTTGGGATGAAGGCGAAGAGAAGAAGAACAAGACTTTTGATGATAATGGTGAGAAACGCCTGAGTATAAAGAATAGCCAAAGCAATTAAATAAAAACAGCAATAACAATAAAGTTGTAAACCTATTGGCTGTTAAAAGATAGTTTTAGTTGTGGTTAGGATCAGCGTTCTGTAGCGTTTAACCACTCACTTCTGACAAACTATTAAGCGTGGTTTAGGCATATTATAATGGTCTAACATGGATTTAAGAATTTTGGAAGTAGAAAAAACTACCAAAGCCAATTCTACGTCCATACAACATAGAACTATGCGTCAAAAATATCAAAATTTTGATTTTGAAAGAACGTGACTCGGTCCACAACGGCTCGTTTACAATTTTCAATTTGCATACACATTATTGATTTACAAAGACCTTTTACATCATGTTTGCATCATGACGGACTAATGAAGTCCAAGGGCATCGCAGGCATCTAATTATTATACCTATGTATATAGATTTGTTTGATATACGATAATAAAAGGTATGTATTGAGGGCCTGGGGCTTATAGCGGATCAAGTACTACACAAGACGGGGGGATGGTCGATTTTAGAAGGATGTAATAAAACATTAACACGAGTATATAATATATATATATATATATATATGTATAAGTCCACGAGGACACGGTGCTGGCGAGGACAAGACGCGCACCTTATGTACCTCCGACCGTGTCCGTAAGTGCAACTCCGTGTGTGTGTTTGTGTTATGAGAGAGTTGGATATTATTTTCTATTTGATAAATCGGTGGTACTTATATAGGTGCTATATTATATTGTACACATATAGGTAGGAGTCCCGGCGTGGGGGACCACCGGTTGAGGTGTGCGTACACACTCACATACCGTGTAAGGTTACAAATGAGCTTATGATGTTGCTATAATATACCACACACACGCATACACACACATGGTAATATTTTATCAATAGCCGGTCTAAAGATGTTCAAATTAGCAATGAATAGGACTTGTCTGCGATGTTAGGTGAAGTCGCACAAGTATGTATGTATGTATATGTACACGTGTAATGTAGGTACAGCAACAACAACAGACGGACATTAATTTTCATGACCTCCGGAATGGGTGTTTTGAGCCCCCGGTGCAATCATTAAAGGGCACATATAATAATATGTACCTATACTTGCACACAAAGACCGCCCTGTCGAACGATATTAATCTCAGGCCGAGCATTCTCGCGGGTGAGGTCCGAAATTATAAATCGCCTGCCATCGTTTACATACACACACACGAGGCGTTTATCATGTCCATATTATTATTATTAAGAGGGGAACCCACCCCTAGGTCGTGTAGGTACGGTCCATAACATATTATAGTCTACTTAAGAGAGCACTGGCGACAAACCAAACCACGAATTCGATTACCCAAATAATATATCTACCACCTTTAATGTAATATATTGTGTGATAATATATTACGGGCTATTAATAACGTAAACACACGCTTGCAACTATATAATAATATAACATAATGCAAGGACACCGCGAAGGGGAAAAAGCGTCTTGGCGGCCGATGATCGATAAGATCTTTGGAGAAGTATTATATACACACGATTGTGTTACATAGAAATATTGCACACCATTTTTAAAATAATATACATATTAGTTTGTCACATAGTCGTGTCCTAAACAAGTAACAAGTAAAATTAGACAACAGCCCTAAAACAACAACACAGTTAAGTGCTAAAAATTGATATTAACATCAACACAAAAAACTAAGTAGTGTATCAAAAATACAGTAATTCAAAAACAATATGCTAAGTCAACGATAATTCTACAAACGGATAATATAGTAATATATAAAACAAGTGAAACGACGATAGTAATGCCAAAGTGATTATAATAGGTATGAAAATTAAATGTTTAAAATTAAAATCCTATTGTTATTTTCTTGTACACGTATATAAAGTGTGATATGTTGTATTAGACAAGCTAAACACACACAATAACCTCATTATATAAATGTTTTCTAAACGATTAGTGCGGAAAATATTGTAAATAAAATGTAATATTTATTTGTTGTTTTTAAAACATTTCATGTACCTGTATTAAAATTTAATCGAACCTTCCTTTGTATAATGCTTGTTTTCACTTAGAAAACCGGATGCAATAATATTGAAAAATATTGTGACAATTTTAATGAAATATTAGGTATACCTAATTTGTGGTGGGTTAAGCACTTAGGACTATATTAAACATCTCTTAAATTGTAGCGAAAATACATTACATTGGATCCTTGCCGAGGCAGTTTTTTCTATTGCTAGACATAGTATCAATTAAATTAGAGGATCTAGTATTGGAATATTAATGTGAGAATCCAGGTACGGAATCGATTCGACTACAACGGTTCATTTTTTATCGACAAAATAAAATCAACAGACTTAAAAATGTTCCAATTGTACACAGTTTTAACGGTAGCTTTACATATATATATACATGGGATATGTATTGACAACATGGTGCCACCGAGTCCCCTGGGCATAATGTATTCGCGGACACGCCGGCGACGTTCAAAGGAACACATTATATACAACAGGAGATGCGTGTCACTTGGCTCTGAATTTTCGACAATATTTTTGGGGTTGTGGCGGCGAAAAATGGCGCGCACACAAAGGTTTTGGCTTTTTATCGTGCTCGTGTGTATAAGTGTATAGTATATGTATAATGTATACCATAGGGTTTCCTCTACAGAGCCCATAAATATATATATACCCTCCGGATGTATAACGGGGGGCAGATGCTCCTGACTCCGTTGAACCATTAATCAAAAACGTGTCGTGAATGAAAACTGCACACACACACACACACACACACTTACACAAGGAAAGGCCACAAAGCGCCCGTTACGGGAGAAGAAAAAAATATATAGGTACAGAAAGACCACATTTATATATATAAGTATATAAGTGCACATATACCTATAGAGGAAACCAATTTTTGCCTCTTGTGACAACGACTCCGTAAAAATTCCGTTGGAAGTAATTGAGAACGAATACAAAATATATATTTTAAAATGTAAGCGATTGTTTTTTTAAAAACATTTTAAGTGCTGCGCCGCCAACTGTCCTGACAGTACTTATATATCAAGTTTATATCAAATTTTAAGTGTATACTGTATAGGTATAATAGTTTAAACTTTAATGAATAGCGCTAGATTGACAGCTGGAACTCTGCCCACATTTTAAGAAATATCGAGTTATAAACTCTATACAGCGATTAGAAAATCATAATATTTTACAACTGCTTGTTTAAATTATTAAGAAAAAATATTTGAGTAGAATTATAGTTTTAAACCATTATTCATTTTTTTAAAAAA